ATTTTTTTTCATTAAGGGTGTTTTAGGGGTTAACTTAAATTAAGACTGCTTATACCTTATAAACGATAAAGAAGTGCAAATATTTCATTCTGTATCTACACACATTTTTTCAATAAATATTTTAAGTAAGATTTGTACATCTTAGTCAATTTATTTAATATCTTTCTTTAGCAAAACATATATATTTTCAAATTTATAAATTGATTTAAATCAATATGCGTATGAAGTCTTGATAGAAATCTGACTTTCTGTGCCTTAAAGTAAATGAAATTTGATTACCCTATATCGTGATACATCGCTATATCGCGATGCAAAACTGACGATGCATCACGATATATAATTTCTAATATCGCCCAGTCCTATTTGTAACATAACTTATAACAACAAATTTAATCTTACTTCAAATGAATATAATTAAAAAATGTTTCCTTCATTATCCTCAAAACCTTTCGAACAAAAAAAAAACAAAAAATCACGTTCCATAATACTAGTTTCTATATAACAAAATATACTTTCTATCCCAAGTATTTCTAATTACACAGTAAAATAATATTTATATAAAACAAAATAGCATATTATTTTGATATATCACTGATCACTAAGAAGTCAAAGTAACTAAGATTCAATGTAAAAATGTTCAGAAAATAGTTCTTATGTCAGTAGTGTAAATATGCACACTATTTACTAAGAAATTGTTCTTTGCAATTAAAGTAAAAAGTTACTTTAATCTAGATAATATTGTTTTGTATTTATAAAATTGTAAAACTAGTCATGATGAAAATGCTTTAAATAAATATTTGTTTTTTAAAAATATTTGTAGGTATTTTTATTCTTTCTTTAAATCTCACTTAATTTTTTCTTTTAAAAAATGGGATAATTTATAGATCATGAGATTCACTGCTCAAAAGTGTTCAAACCCTATGGAAAAAAAAAATATCTACCCCAGAACCTTAGAGTTCAACTGTATGGCATAAAACTAAATTTTAAAACTATGATTAATAAAAAAATTTCATTCTACATATTTAAGATTTTTAAAATAATTAAGTCTTCCTTTGCTTAACCAACTTCTAGCTTATGAACTTAATATAAGTTCTAATACTTCATCTAATATAGATATTCCTCAAAAAGAAGACCAATAATTTAAGGTACCGCTGTTCTAGAGCACTAGGGTTACATGGTTAAATTCTTTCAGGTTGTGATATGGGGTAAACAATTTAGGACAAGTTTTAACTTGGGTCATCATAATAATTATCAGCACATACACACTGTTCATTTATATGTAAGCACATAAACATGTTTCACATCTTATTCTTTTTTAAGTATAAAGAAAGTGACAAATGATACAGAACAAAATAATTGATGGCATAGCAATTATTTATATTAGAGGAATGAAATGGAAAAACTAGTGTTAGTAATTTCTAACAGTTTAGTTTCAGCAAGACCTTTGATAGAGGGCCATAGATCTGATTTGATAAACTTCAGAGCTGAGAATAGTCTAAGTTGACAAAAAAAGCTTTTACTGTTAGAGTTACCTCTTTTAACTTTTCAAAATAGATTTTAAAAGAGGTGCCTTGCAAGAATGATCAGATTTCTCTGTGCTGTGTAGAAATATTGTTTATATACTTTTTAATTTTATATCTAAAGGCTCTTGGTTTTTTTTATTTTCCTTTCCTTTGTTGTGAATTATGACACAACAATACCATCTATGAGCTGAAGAAATGTTTAAATGAATCAATTTAATGAATAATGGCAAATATCACATCCATCTTCCCCTCCCCTTATATTTATTTATTAATTAATAAGTCAATAAAATAATTACATATTTATTACTGTTTATAGTCAATAAATAACACAGTTTATAATGAGATTCTTTTTTACAATATATACTTTATTTCAAATTCATTCTCTCCAACAAACTCTGGAGCCAGAGTCAATGCGTTTTTGGCGACTAAAACTGTGACTCCTTTTATCCAAAAATCTGCTCAACTCCGATTACGTCTCTACAGCCAGGAATTTCTTGGGCTGGGTGCAAAATGAGAGGTTTAATGAGTTGAACATTGATAACCGTAAACCTAAAAATAGGCCATTTCTTCTAAGCTGCTTATAAAATAAAATAAAGCTTTCTAGAATATTACATTGTTTCTTAAACAAAAATGGAAGTTTTCATTATTACGTTCCCAGGTTGAAATCTTATTATTGCTTACAATCAGCTCCTCATCCACACAATATATTTTTATTTTAGTATGGTTGAATGCACAGTTTAAAATTGTGTAAAAATCCATTATTCTTTCTCACCATGACTTCATTATGACTCACCATGACTTTCTCACCATGACTTAACTTTCTTTTTTTTTGTTGCCAACTACATTTTTTTAAAATATAAAATGCATTTTTATTAAGCACTTATAAAACAATTCACATCTATGAGTTTGTTTTTTGAATTTGTTGACACCATTTTACAATTTCTTGGAAGGCGCTAATATAATCATCTTCTTTAAAATTCTGGTTGGACTTAGCAGAATGGTCGTAACCCTCTAGCCATTGCAATTTGTATGGCGCTTTCATACTTTTCAGAACATTCTCTAGCTTGCCTTTCTTACACATTTCATCATTAGAACCACTGAGGAAGAATATTGGTTTTTTAGCATTTAATAGGGGTTCTTTTCTCAATTCACTGTCATCGCCAACTTTATGAAGGGGATAAGATAAACACACTACTCCTTTTAATTTGTTGAACACCTGAGAATCACATGCTTCATCAGAAACCAACATAGCAGCAGCTCGTGCACCCATTGAACGACCTAAAATATTGAGATAATTTCAATTGTTTTTAATTAAAAAGCTCTTGAGAAAACATCTGAGGTTATTGTCGTGTTCACTAATGTTAAAGTATCTGCACATTTCTTCAGATATATTTTCTGCAAGAAACGTGTTTAAATGTAAATTTAAGTGCTGTTTGTCTTACAAACTACGGTTATGAAACAATCTGCAATTGCTAATATTTTTTCGAATATGTTTTTATGCAGAAATAAAATTTTAAAACCTGAATCAGGGCAGTCACAAACCCTCAGAAAAAAAAATTCACTAATTTTCTAACATTAGGTCTGAATCTTATAAATAATTTTTAAGTTGTGCCTTATACTTAAAAATAAAATATATTACATAACACTCATATGAGCCATTAGAGTTGAAATTTATAAAAATTTGTTCAATAAAATAATTGCAATATTTATTTATTTATATATATTTTTTGGAACAAAATATCAGACTTCTAGGTAAATCACGTATAAATTTATTCGTTCTAACCTTTTAAATATTTTGCATTTATTCCCTAAATATTTTCTTGATTTTTCTAGATTGATATAATTCTTTGACCTCTCGACCCTGTTAAGACAGTTTAAGCTTTTGAAGTGACTTTAATATAACAATTTTATTAGAAAAGTAAATTTAATTATTACTGTTTTTTTTTAAAAAATATCAATAAAAACTTTACTAGTTATTATAAAACATCATAATCTAAATAAATAAAGTTCTTATTTCTTTTTCACGCTGGCAACAAAGAAATGGAATATTACATGTATGAGCTGTCATATGCACGAAATCATAAGCAAATACGTTTACCAAAAATGAGAATTCTTTTCTCGCGTGAACAATATAAAGCAAAGTGAGCTATAAGTTTGGAAGAACTCCTTTCATATGAGACTTGGTAATGAGGCATAGCAATCTACAGGGGTCGGGAAGCTTCAGCGAATAGGGAGCAGAGCCCACTACTTGCTATTATTTTGCATGTTTGAAAGCTACAGCCAACAAACAAATGTTACTACAAATACTTTTAAACACATATGAAACTTTGAAGATATTTTGTTTCAAAGAGATGTTTCATTTGAAGCAAAAGGTTTTCTCACCATGAAATTATTTTGAATAGTTAGCAATCTTTCTTGAAATCAACTATACATGAGATAGTGACAAGATTATTTGTAAAACAGAGGAAAAGTAAAAAAAAAAATGCATTTTATATCATATTTTAAATTTTTTGTTTATAAATCAAAACTTTCCAAGTACATGTGGAAATGGTATAACTTTTTCACTCCTGAAATGTTTTAAGGTAAACAATATGCTCATAGAATAATCATTTAGGCAAACAATATGCACATAGACTAACTTGTGATTATATGTTTTTTATATTGGTTATAAAAATTCATTACTTTAAAAATAAAAGTTAAAAACTGTGGTACAGTCATATAGTGTTAACAATTTAAACATTTTCTATGGAAATTACATTTGTTTAAATTACTGGACAAAAAAATCACCCTTATCCCCCCAAATTAGATATATAAAAAGTAAATATAAAAAAAACTTCATACCAAATTAATAAAGGTTAGTTAAATAATATGTAGAGCAAGAAATGTTGATACAAATAAGGACATTAAAATAATTACTTTCAAGAGGAATGAATAGGGTGTTTTTATCAGTAAAAATAATTTTTTTAAATCAGAAAAACACTTGGAATAAAATAAATAAAGCTTAAAACGCATAATAAATAAAATCAAAAGAAATTTTTACATAATAAATAAAATCATTAGAATAGAATATTTCTCCCTTTGATACAAACCAGTATAAGTCAAATAATTTATAGTACAGTAGGGAACCGATTATCCGGAACGATCGGGACCATCACTATTCCGGATAACTGATTTTTCCGGTTTTCTGAATCGCTACAAAAAGCCGTTTTTTTTATTGTTAAACCCAACTAAAAAAATTTTTTTTTAGGAAATAATCTTGAAAAGAAGAAAAAACGATGAAGTAATACACTAATGATTATTTCCAAAATGATGGTAAGGTGAACATCTTTCAAAAAAGAAAGAAAAATCCTAAAATCTTATAAGGAAAAAAAAATTTGTTAAAAAAATGGCGGGAAAATTTATCGAATTTCGTTCCGGTTTTCTGGTTTTCCGGTTTTCTGATTTCCGGATAACGGGTTCTGTACTGTACTTCAAAATTAAGAAATAAGTAAAAGTAGTAGTCAGGCATCAACAAAACACAGGCATGATCACCACAAATGCATAAAAAATCATAGTTGCTCTCAACATTGTAATAAAATGTAACCTATTTTTGTTTTTTTAACAATCTGAATAAAAAAATTTTTTTTGGGGGGGGGGGGAGAAAAAAGATTTTTCTAACGAAAATTCGACAAGAACTTCTTTAAAATGTATTTTCTATTAATTCATTTATATCTCATCCCTTGTACAAATTCCCTGTTTGGATAAAGTTTTAATTTATCATTCTTTGACTATTTTTTCTGAGAGGTTTAGTTTAGTTGCTCTAATGCGTTAAATAAGTAAAAACTCATATAGGAAATGCAAAAATAAGCTATGATGCGTAATTCTTCAGCGTAGAAAAAAAAAGCATGACAGCAGATGTAGGTGTGAATCGCCCAAATATAATTCTTCTTGTTTAGCTTACCAATAAATAGAATAATTATAAATGTGAATATTAATAAATGAAAGAGGGACCCAGAAATTTGGAAGTCCTGTATCCCAAGAAACAGAAATTCTGTTTAAATAATAACGAGCAGAATCACTGTTTAAAAAATATTAAAATAATTGTTTTTATGATAGTATTTCATAAAAACAAAAAACAGTTGACCTTATTCCACATGCTAAATTTTAAACTTTTGTACACCTCTGTTAGTAATAAAACATAGTACTTTTTTCAACTGTCTCTTACCTCCAACAAAAATCATCTTGGGGCTGTATTTTTCATTGACATAACTCTGGAAAAAAAACAATGTGATTAAAAGTAAAATTAAAAAATTAATAGTCATCTTACAAAAAATAATAAAGTATTGAGCATTAAATAACATCAGCACTATCAAAAGTATAGCATTAGATACAAAAAGGTTCTGTAGGCTTCTGAATCAGGGTTACTAGATTTAACTGATCTCTACAATTAAAAGGTACTTCTTCAAGGAAAAAATGGATTAAAATAAATTTTTTTAAATTCATTTCGATGATAATTTTTATTAATTTTTTTAAAACATATAAAATTGTTTCATTTGTATTAAAACATATCTACTAGTAATTCAATCATATTTCTTTCAAAAATATATAAGTAGAATCATATAAATTTGAAAGTGGCTGTTTAGGAGAAATTTGGGTACATTAACAAACACTTCACAACCAATTTTAATATAAAATGGACATCTCACAACATTTTTTTTACTGTTAAAACACTACGGATCATTTACAAAATATTTTATCATAAAAATGGTCTTTTTTACATTACTTTTATATTTCAAAATTTCATTCACCAAATTTTTCCTTTAAAAAAAAGATTCAATGACTCTATTAAGATATGATTCTAAAACTAAAACTGTTTAAAACACATTGTTTTTATGTTTTTTTTGCAAAAACAAAACCTTATTTTCACACATTTGCAGAAAAAAAGACAATGATTTTACACTAATTATAAATATAAAAATTTAAGAATTTTTTCAAAAAAATACTTTGGCAGAAAGATAATGATTTTAACGCTAGTTTTAAATATAAAAATTAAAGACAACTGATTTTAGGATTTTTTAAAAAAAATATGAGTCAATCTTTATGAATTTACAAAATAAATAGACATCTCATAAGAAATCTTCAACAAGTTTATTAATGAATAGAGATACAAACTATTAATATATTTTTTTGAATTTTATTACAATAAATCCTTACAACTTAAACCGTGAGATTTTGGGCTATTTAGAATTTTATTTTATTTGAATCTTTCAGATGTCATTAAACTTACTTACTAAATATAACAGAATTCACCTGGAATAGGTCAATATAATCAGTAGTGAAAAAAAAAAAGTCTTGCAATTTTTAAATAAAATAATACTCCAAAATACAAAGATTAAGAATATATAAAATACAGAATATCTGCTATATAGAATCTTGTGTTAGATAAATCATTACAATAACTTTCTAAATATGGCAATATATATTTGGAACAAATCAATATTAAGTCATTTAAATAATTCTTAAACAAAAAACACTTTGGAACAGAAAACTATGCATTTAAGAATTTAATATTTACAGCAAAAATAAATAAAATAAATTATCAAGCGCTTAAGAAATAAAGTGCAATAAATGAGTAAATTTTTATTTGCTTTACAGATTGTAAAGTTAATAGGGTTTGCAGAGAAATGTGGTTAATAGAACTACATTATATAGATCTTCTATTCTATAAGTATTTTTTAAAAAAAAAAAAACCTTTTACTTTTAAAATGCAAATAAAAAAACTTATTCTCACCAGGACTTTCCCAAATACTTTGATTCTGTACTTTATATTTAATCCTTTACAAGTGAAGCATACAACAACGTAATTCTGAGAGGCCAGAAATAATCTTATAGCTTTAAGTTGAGGAGTGTTTAAATCACCTCCTGCACCATGTGTGAGAACTATCAGAATTCTGTCTTTAGAGCAGGAACCCACATAAGTTAAAACAGAAGGAATTTCTTTACTCTCATAGGGTACAGCAAAATCAACCTAAAGAGAAAATTATGCAATAAGGCAGTAATTTCCAAGAGGAAAAAAACCTAAAATTTAATAGTAATAAGTACTCAGGATTGTTATAAGGTAGCTTTGCTGATATATGACCTTGAGATAAGTGAATGGAGTAAATGTTTGCACATGGGTATGTTCGATGCGGTTGAGAATGATGTTAAAAACACTAGCTTTGGATCTCGTTGCTACGTGGTTTTAAAATTTCCAAACCAGGGCTCGAAAAACCGCCCATCGTAGCAACACCTCCTAGAAAGAACAGGCCTCAGCACGGGTTACCATAAATATCCCTTAGCAGTCCTAACGTAATGACATATTTTGTATTTTTAAACACTGCGCAGCTTAGTACCCCTAATGTAATGACATATTCCTTATTTTTCGTCTACTGCGCAGTTAACTTCGTCACATCGGACTACTAAATTGATCCGTGCTGAGGCCTTTCTACTTCTAGGAGGTGTTGATCGTAGGCAGTCAAAAATTTCCCGCAGACAACGAATTTCTCGAATCCGGCGTCCACACAAACGGCCATTTTCCCGTTAATGTTCGCAATACATTTTCAATTTTTGTTTCTTACAAGAGTCTAGAGCAGCACTTCTAAAATGACCCTCTAATCTAGAAATCCAGTTAATCCCGCTGTTGAAAGGGGCTTTTCAGCAATGAACTTACAAAAAAAAAAAAAACAGATTGCTGGCAAACGTCATATTTGATTCATTTAAAAAACGCAGTACACTTGGATAAATTGACATTCCAGATAACTTGACCTTTTCTATTTAATTTATTTCATAAAAGAAATACTAGGTTACTAATAGTAACCTAGTATTTCTTTTATTATTGTATAATGTAATCCTAGTAACTACTAATTCATTGTACAATTTATATAAACGTTTGTAATAAATAAGAGAAAATTATATATTTATTTATTTAAAAGCTACGGGTTAGTTTCAAAGGAGGACGGGTACATTGCTTGACAAGCCGTCCTCGGTGATGGGAAAAATTTCTGAGTTTTTTCGAGCCATGTTCCAAACAACACTTTTTTAAAGTCAAGCATAATTCTTACAGTAAAAAAGTTAAAATAAGAATTGATCAAAAAATATATTTTTTGCACAAGAAATTTACGATGTTAAGCTTCTGCCAAGCATCACTTTCTTCAGTTATCACTAAGGAGAAGAGACGGTGATAAAACGTGTTCTGTATGTTTACAAAACACGCTTGCTAGAACAAGTCAATGTGAAAACATCAAAAATTTGTGAAACACAAAAATCTTTCAAAATACACAAAAACATTCTTTTTTACTGTTTGCTCCTGCATTTTATTTCCTTTAAAAAAAATTGCTCTTTTTTTTAAAAATATATTTCTCTCTAACAACACTATTATTACTTAATAAATAATTATGCATAACATAAATAATTATGGAGTTCAAAATAAAAGCTAATTGAAATTTCGACTTTCGTTCTAATATATTTATTATATTAATATTATATCATCAATTTATCACATAGAATTATTATATAAAATAAAAATTAAATGAAATTTCTACTTCAGTTAAATCAGTTTCTTTTTTCCTTAGTTTCAAAATGTTTGTTGATGAATCAAGAAATTCCTCTTTAGAATCAGTAGCAGATACAAGATGCATTATTTTATTACTTTTAAAATCTATATCGCCATTTTCTTCATCATCTTTATTCCTTTTCCGCCTAAAATCACAAGAGAAGAATTATGTACTTAACAAAGTTGCACTAAAGAATAAACTAAATAAAATACATATCTGAAAAAAAAAAGTTAACATTTCTTATTATTTTCATAATTAAAATAAAGTTTTCATTTATAATGTTTTACAAAATTTACAGGTTGCTTATTAAGAAGTGTTTTTCAATTATTTATAACATAAGTAAATTACGATATTAGTAAATTTGAGCTTATATTTATTTGAAGTTTTGGTAGCACCTAATTTTAATTAACTATTCTTAAGGAAAAACACAAAAATAAATTATTTGTAAGATTTAGGGGGCACCCACAAATGTGGGAGCATTAGGTCAGGGCCTCTCAGGCCTTATGATAAATCAGGCACTTTACATAATTATAGCATGATATTTGTAAATTAATTTTATTACATTTATTTTTAGTTGTTATGTTATTGCATTAATTATATTTATGATATAATGTTTTATCCATAGTTCAAAAGTAAAATTTTTTAATAATCTCTTTTTTAAATTAATTATGGAAAAAACTTGAAAATATTTCAAATTTGAAAACATAACATTTTCCAAAAAGACAAAAAGCATATTTTTACACAGTTTTGTTAACATTTTGAGCATCACCTCTCTTCATCCTGAGAAAATCTCTGCTTGTGCTCTTGCAACAAGTGATGTCATAGAGAATAAAAAACTATGAAGTACTTAATATAATTGAAATAAAATAGATCCAATGATTAAAGTATCAATACATTTGAATTCCTAAATAAAATGCAAATATGCTTAATCGTTTTGTTAAGGAAAAAAATTTCGTCGGCACTCAATTTATTCAACAAAATGGAATGCAATGGAAAATGAATGTCAATGGAATTATAAACGTTTCTATATATTTGCAATAACAAACAATTAACATATTGATATATCTACAGGAATCTTTTATTTTTAAGTTTAAATCAATGTTATATGTTATTTATTTATTTTTTACAACATGCAACAAAACAAATAATTCAACCATCATATACTTTCGAAGTGATTTAGGAGACATGTCGAAATATCCGCCGAATTTCGATCCTCTTACTCGTTGCCGACTCAAATAAAATAAACAGCAATACAAATTGCTTAAAAATTTCAATTAGGCTAACTTTATCACTAATGATATTTTTAACTTGTCAATATCATTTAAATTTAAACACTTTAACTTATACTACTTACGCTTGTATATAAATTTTTATAGTGCTGCCATCTATCAAATGTATTGTAAAACACATTTTAGAGAATTGGAAATTGAAAGAGAATCAGAAAATACAGAAGCTGAAATAAGTGTATCAAGGGTTAATGTATGGAAAAACAATAAATGTTACAATTAAAATTTGCGTAGATAATAATGAGATTTGGTAGGTTTCATATTTAATGAAAAAAATTTCATTTAATGTGTAACCTTGATTGGGAAAGCCTACTGCTGCCATCTACCATAATACATATAAAATTAATATTCCAGTATAACATTTTTCTTTTAAATATTTTTTTAATTATTTTTATTCTAATTTATTTACTTTTTATTTTTGCTTAAAATGTAAAGAATATCTGAAGTGCAATTTAAAAAAAGTAATAATTTGTAAAATGTTTTATTCAAATTCATTACGAAAAACCTATTGTTATCTACTCAATCGAAAATTAATGTTTAATGTGCAAGTTACATATACTAACCATTTAAATACAGTTATTTTCTTAGCTTTATTCTTAAAAAGTTATTCAAATTGACTATCAAAATAAATTGAAGTATAAATAAAAATTAAAGGAAAAATATTGTAACTGGAATTCAGCAATTATTTTTTAAAAAAATGACGCATTTCATGGAGTAAATAAAAATATGGACAAAAAAATTAAAATAAATAAATATAAAATTGAATAAAAAGCATTTAATTGTAAGATATTTTTTATCTTTCATCTATTTTATTCTTTATTTGTTATTGAAAAAATTGATATTAGGTCAAATCAATATATTTCAAACAATGTATTTAATCTGTCTAAAATATTATTTCTCCGCATAGATATATGCAAAGCATTATATGCATTAGTGATCCATGCTAAAAACTCACAAAATTCTGTGTGTGTTTGGGATGTTTACTCCTTGAACGTATTTTTAATATGGATTTAAGAAGAAATAATTATTTAGCACCTGATAAAAAATTTTTATTAATTAGAAGGAGTTGCTACTCCTCATGACTCTTGATCTTAGATCAACAACTTGCTACTTTGAAAATAAAATATTTAACTTAATTTAATTCAAAACTAGAATTTTTACTTTGTTAAAAAGAGTGTAGCGACAAACGATGCAATATGGCAAATAATGTTGCCCCAATGCTGATATTTAATATATATATATATATATATATATATATAAGGCATTGCATTAAGTAATTTCATGTTTTGTTTATCAGGTTCTTTTTTGTTACATTTAATTATTACATAAAAATTAAAAATTTTTATTTTCAGCTGTTTTTGCATATTGTAGAATAATTAATGCCNAAGGCCGTGGTAAGTATACTTACCACCACGTTTTACCACTTTTAATTTAGGTTTCCATTTTTCAATAACTTCAGCTTTCTTGAAGTGAGTTTGAATAAAATTGGTAACCATTTGTCACTTTTAAAAAACGTATAAAAGTTATAAAATACGTCATTCCCTTTGAAGTTTGTAGCATTTAAGGAATTTATTTTATAAATAAAGAAAAATAAGAGTCAGTAAGCTTCTAACACGTCATGTTAAATATATTTACCACCAAAAAAATGGCATTTTTATAAACTAAATGAGTTTTTTTTTTTAATATCAATTACTGTTCTTAAAACAATTTCAATTCCAACAATACTTTAATTTACCTTTACTAGAAATAAAGGGCCCGTTAAAGGGTTAATAGCAATAAAAATTATTAATAATTTAGAATTGAATAATTTTGAAATGTGTAATTTTAACATTGCTCAAATTAACATTTTGGACATTCTAGATGTGATTTTAATTTAAAATACAAAAAAAAAAAAGAAAATCTATTACATGCCAATTAATATATTACACAAAATAATTTTGCCGTATGGGCTAAGTCTGGGGTCTGAAGTAATACCCTAGAAGTAGAGAAACTACTGGGATTGTTGGTTTTCTTCGTAGTTTGTAGTGAAGTGTGGTACTTTTTCAAAAAGGATTGCAGTGAATAGTTCGATTCAAAAACACTAGTTTGTAGCGATTTCTGACAACTTCTTCAAACGTTAGTTTAGTAAAGAAACACGAACTTAACGCTACTATTTTTAGAATTTGATGGGTACAAATCTTCGCAGATCCGTCGCTTGATGCAATGAAAATGATTCTGTGACTGCAGAGGAAACGTTTTTTCGATGTACTTAATTTCTTAGAAGAAATGAAAGAGCATTAAATAATTTAAAATATTTCAAGTATTTGTATTTGATACTTTCGCATTTCTAAAATTGAATATTCGCTGTCGAAAAAAACATAAGAAGTTGAAGCTTAAGTGAACAAATTCGAAAGAAAAAAAAAAGTGTTTTGGAATTACAAACTGGCCTTATTCCCTTATTTAGGGTATAAGTTAATTTCTTATTTAAAACCCTTTCAAACATAAGTGTAAATTAAGTATTAAGTTCTCCAGAAAATATATAATTATAATTGTTTATTAATTATAATAATGTACATCATAGCTAATATATACACGTAATTTTATTTTTTGATTTTTTTTCTGGATAGGGATAAAGAATCTAACCTCCCCTCTTAGCTTTGGCCCGCCCTAAAGCAGAAAGCTCTTAACCGCGAGGGGATGAAAATAAAAATTACGATTACCGTTTCCTGAAAGTTGAAAAAATCAATATTTGACAAGCACAGTCAAAAAATTGATGTAGAAATTTTCCTCTCGAGAAAAGTGGTAATTGCTTTGGCGCAAAAAGAAAATTATTGTCGAAGGGAGGGGGGCAATGAAGTAATTTATCATTTTAAGAAAATCGACTGGAGGCAAAACTTCTGAGGGGGCAATGTTATTAACTTGTCCCAGCTTCAGGAAGTTAGTTTTCTTTAGGAGAGAGAGTTTTTAAAATTTTAATCGATATCGATTACTTATTTGCATTCATAATTCTTCTTTTATTTTTTAAGTTATTCACGAGTTTAGTAATGATTGGAATGATTAATATTTCACACAGTTCCGCTATAGTTGTAGACAAACTTAAAATTTCGTCCTCGTGGTTGGAAAGAGTGTTGTTTGTTTAAAAATAATAAAATCAACTTTTTCAGATTTTAAGATGATTATGATTTAATTTTTTGTGCTTTATTATTTATGTTAAAACCGAACTAATATCAATGTTTTTATCTTTAAGGTCTCATCTACTTAATGGGTCCAATGGCTAAAATAATTTTTTTATCACACTTATTATTGTCATATTTGCAATTGTAATTAATTATATAATTATTATTATACAATTGTAATTTTATAACCGTAAATATATAATTATAATTAGATATTATAATTAGATATTATAATTAGATATCATAATTACATATTTAGAATTAAATAATTATAATGAGATAATTGAATATTGTAATTAATTATTTTGATTAATCATTACATTTATACCTGATAGAAAGTTAACTCGAAATACTTCCGGAACGTTAACGTTTAAAGATCACTTACTTTAAAAAACGATTCCTCGTTTAAGTGTATTTTAGACGTAACTCAAATTAAACGTCTAAGAAAACATCTATAAATTTATTCAATTGTAATTATAGTTACAAAATTATAATTAGAAAAATATAATTAGAAAATTATAATTAAATAATTAAAATTGATTCATATAATTTTTGAAATTGATTATTGTAATTGATTATTATAATTAATGTTTTTTTTTTCCCAGTGGCAGGGTCTGAATTTGAATCTTTGCCTATACTATGCCAGAATTGTTGCTCATTTCGCGTTACCCAGTGGGCACCTGTGAACCAAAGTCACGGAGGCGAGCAACATTGCCCACGCCACACTGCCACAAACCCGTTTATAGGGTGGGCCACATTCACACATCATACACACACAACAGAGGACAGCACAAAGAGAGAGAGAAACATCCATGCCCAGAGCGGGATTCGAACCCGCAGCCTATAGCTTCGCAATCAGGCACGCTAACCGCTCGGCCACCTGGCCGGCCATAATTAATATAATTGATTATTATAATTAATGTAATTGATTATTATAATTAACTATTATGATTATTATAATTGATTATTATAATTAATCATTACATTTATGTTAGATGAGAGGTAAACTCGCAATACTTTCGTACCATCAAAGATTAACTATCGCTCTTTCAAAAGAACAACATCGTTTCAGTGTAATTTAGACATAGCTCTGGTTAAACGTCTAAGAAAATGAGCATCACTTGTAATGTGCGTTTGAAAGGCATTGATCTAGTTTGAAACACGTGTTTAAGGAAATGAGCATGATTTGATTTGCTGATTTGTAAAAATTGACTTACTTTGACTTAGCTGAAAATGCTTAGAAGGCGAGCTTTAAAAAAGGGTCATTTTAAAAGTGAATCGATGGAGATATCAGTCTTTTTTTTAAAAAAAATTTATTGTAACGTTGGCCCAGTTGTTGTTTCTTTCACGTCGTAGCACATTTATAAACTTTATGCAAATTGTTTTGACTAAGCCATAAAATGCAATACAGCCAATTTCACTGAAAGCTTCAAATTTGAAAGCTACAGTAAAGATAAAAATTACAGACCAATAGCTGCACATTTTTCCTCCGACGCTTCATGTCATAACTATCAGATCAAATAACAGCTTCAACTATAAATCCTTTCCAAAAATAAGAATATACACGGAGTTTTCTCTTGCTGACACAATTCTGCACACCTACAACTTTTGAAACCGAGACAGTTTAGAGCAACTGCTCATATTGTTTTCATTAATTTTTTTAGTTATTTAAGCAAAGTGCTTGAAATAAAATAGAAGAA